ACAGACTGCAACCTCGTTTTCCTTCATTGGCAGCGGACTGGTAGGGCCATTGCTGCCGAACCCAACGTCAACCTTTTTAACGAGCTCAAATCAGTAGCTGCCCGCGATAAAAAAAAAAAAAAATACCCGCAGCAAACACCTTACCATGTACTTCTGGCCATTAATGGTCACGATGAGGATCATGTGTCCACTGCGCCCTGCATCAGTGAAGACAACTCTATAGACTTTAGGAGATCAAGGAGCATACAGCGACATGTATCCCACCGCCGCATTGCTCCCAGTCGCTGCTGCGTAACTCACTCGGCCCCCCGTGGGATAGACCTGGTACCCCAATGACCGTAGGACGACATAAAGCAGGTTGGTATTCTCCATGCAGTACCCGTCTAGTTTGCGGATGACCAGTTTTTCAAACACACACGTTGGATGGATGGAGATCGTGCGGTGTTGGGAGTAATGCAGAGCGGAATTGCCCCATGGGATGGCGCTCAGATGCCGCCTCTGCAGGTCGGTCAATGTAGCCAGTGGGTCATTCTCGATGCATTGCTGGAGATGTTGCTGCCTGGTGATTCCAGTAGTACCGGCAGAATCGGCGTACTTGATGCGCTGCAGATAGGCTTCTATCTGATCAGGAGTATATGTAGACGGTGGAGATGCCATGATGCGGGGGGTGACGATCTACAAGACCTCGAGGAAGAACAAAGCTATCATGTAACAGGGAACAGCGTCCTCTTTACGTCTATTTACATATCTATTCGAGGCCAAGATGGTTTCGTATTCAGTAGTTAGTTATTACGTGATTTGTCAGATAATTGGATCCAGATGGAGCCGTGGGGCGTGAAGCCACCAGCGTCGGTCCCTCGGATTGCCGAAACGAGGTGAGAAGCAGGTACAGAGTATGTTGGATAATAGTAGTGAGAAAGATCACGAGTGTATCAAAATAAGGGGTAGCATCATTTATGTACTGTTTTGATACTTTTAAGCAAACATTCGATACCTGTAGAATAATCGCAATGATCGTGCCACGATGGTTCTGACTTCCCCGCGTTTCAACCCCACGGCAGAATGATGAATGTATCAGGGACGGACCATGTGAATGGGAATGAGAATCAAATGTCCATGGATTTGGTTGCCTTGGGTAGCACAAAATATGTTTCCCTAGTCCTGGATGAGATCATGGATCGTTTGAACGAAAGTATGTTGATCTCTAGACGTCTTTGGTTCCGAGCACCTCTTAAGCTGGTGCTGATAATGTTGGTTTATCAGATCCTCGGCTGTCAGTGTCAGCATTGGGAGACATTTGATGATGGATTGTCGACATAGTTTCTGCTCAATTTTTATTCCAAAAGGATCAGAAGGACATACACAGATAGCCATATTGTATACACTAATGCAGCTCAAATAAGGGACGTTCTCAGCAAGAAGACTGTTCCGAGCAACGGACAAACGGACGTCGCATCGCATCACACTGCCCCCCAGTCTCGGAATCTCCATCTTCGTCGCAGCCCGATCTCCCTCACCGTTTGGAAAAGGTATCAGGCCGACTTCCATATGAACTTCGTGTCGCGGAACCGTGTTATCTTTGAAATTCTCCCCTTTCGTCCTGCTGGTCGACCACGACTGATCTTCAAAACATCCCCCGCCCCATCCATCCAGTTTCCAAGACGCACCATGTCCAGCTCGATCGAACAGAAACTGAACGAATTGCAGAAATACTCTGCGTGCGATGTATGAGCTACAAACTGCGAAGGTAGCTTCCGCTAATCAGCATCAAAATCTAGGTATCAGATGCTCTCCTCAAACTACAGAAACCCCCGGAAGGAACAGCTGCCCGAGCAGGGCACCTGGCCAACTTCAGTAAGGAGACCTCGCTCTAGAAGCATTAAACCCCATCTTACTCTCCTTGGTAAGCAAACAACCCCACTAACAGTTCGATCCAGCGCCCTTCTCCCCCTCCATAGGCCGCAACGCAACCCACCCCAAAATCATCGCCCCAGCATCAACCTTCAAATTCATCTCCAAGAACGACCGCATCCCACCCAGTGCAGGCCCCGAGGACTCCCATGGCTTCCCAGCAGGCACGCACTGGGTCGACTTCGCCGAGCCAGGCACTGTAGCCGTGCTCGAGCAGCCCGCGGACCAGCATTGCGCCGTTCTCGGCGGGATCATGGCCGTGCGGATGAAGGCTCTCGGTGTGCGCGGGGTCCTAGTGAACGGGCGCGTGCGGGATCTAGCGGAGATCAATGAGTGCAAGCTGCCGGTCCGTGTGAGTCCAATCCTGTATCGGAGCGGCTGTGCTGATTGATGTAGGTTTGGGCGAAGGGTACGTCGACGGTTGGGACGGGCGCGGAGGCGAAGCCGGGAGCCAGGAATGTGCCGGTTGATGTGGGGGGCGTGACTGTTTCCCCGGTATGATTTTCTGGGGGAAGTGAAGGTGGTGGATGTCGATGGTGATGCTGACCGTTGTTTGCAGGGCGATATTATTTTTTGTGATCCTTTGGAAGGCGTGGCTGCTATCCCCCAGGAGCTTCTGGATCAAGTGCTGGAACTTATGCCTAAATTAGTAGCCATGGATGACAAGGTCAAGGACGCTGTGGCTCAGGGAATGAATGTCTTTGATGCGTTCAAGCAGTTCCGTACCAAAATTTGAGAGATTTTAAGGGAGGTATTTGGACGAGGTATCTACAGGCGTTGTCTATACCATGAGTGATCAATATAACTGGTGAACCATCATGTCATTGGTATTCGAACAAGTATTCAATACAATCAAGAAGGTGGGAACATAATATATATGTCATCGCTGTACAAAGAAAATGCAGAGAAGAAAAGCAATGAAACCAGCTCATTCCTTCTTTTGTTTATTCGGCGACCCAGACTGCGGCCATACCCATACCCGTACCCACACACATGCTGGTGACACCAACCTTCTTGTTGGTGCGCTTCAGCTCTGTCAGAAGGGTGCTGATCTGTCTAGCACCGGTGCAGCCAAGGGGGTGGCCAAAGGCGATAGCACCTCCCTTGGGGTTGATCTTCTCCTGGGGCAGGCCAAGCTCGTTGACACACCACACACACTGAGAGGCGAAGGCCTCGTTGATCTCGTAGATGTCGACCTCGTCCTTGGTGATGCCGGCCTTTTCAAGGGCGACGGGGATGGCCTTCCAGGGGCCGATACCCATGAGCAGGGGCTTGACACCGACAACGCTGGCGGCAACATACTTGCCGATGATCTTCTGGCCGAGGCGCTCGGCGGTGGAACGCTTCATCAGCAGCACGGCAGCAGCACCGTCAGAGATCTGAGAGGCGTTACCAGCGTGGATGGAACCATCCTTGGCGAAAGCAGGACGGATCTTGCCGAGGGACTCGGGAGTGATGCCGTCACGGATGCCATCGTCGGCCTTGACGGTAATGGTCTTCTCCTCACCGGTCTTGGGATCAGTCCACTTGACCTGGAGAGGAATAATCTCCTCGTTGAAGAGACCGGCCTTCTGAGCCTTGACGGCCTTTTGGTACGAAGAGGCAGCGAAAGCATCTTGGACGGTACGACTAATGTTACGGTCCTTAGCCATCTGCTCCGACAAGACACCCATGGGGACCTTGCAGTTGGCGGACTCGGGGTGGCTCTCGAGGAGCTCAGAAAACTCGGTAACGGCGCCAGGACTGCGTGACGAAAGTTTGTCAGCGTTTGGGCTTCTTGCGGCATTGCAAAAGAATGGTTCGACTTACCCATACTGAGAGGACATGCTCTCCACACCTGCACCAATACCAACCTCAATCATACCGGACTTGATAGCGTTGGCAATGTCCACAATGGCCTGAAGACCACTGGAGCACTGTCTGTTCAAGCTCTTGACAGCAGTCGACTCGGGGAACCCGGCAACAAGGGCAGCAGCACGGAACTCGGTAGCACCGCCACCAGGGGCAAGGACGGAGCCAACAGCGACATCTTCCACCACCTTGGGGTCGATGCCGCTGCGGTCGATGACGCCCTTGAAGACACCGGCCAACAGATCAGCGGCAGCGGTATCCTTGAAGCCACCCTTTCCGCCCTTGGTCAGGGCAGTACGCAGGGAACATGTGACAACGATATCATCGGGATGCTTCTCGGTGATGGCGGCGACACCCTTCTTGCCTCCCGAGGTGAAGTGGGAGGAGACCTGGGAAAGACGCTGTTGAGCTGTGAATGCCCAACATAGTCAGTATGACTGGTAGAGAACCTCTAAGTTGACTGGAGTGAAAAGAGTATCCGACTTACGAGAAGACATGATGACGTCAATAGAAACCAAGGGTATATGAAAAAGGACCAAAGGACAACAAAAGTAGAACTCTTCAAAAAGTATGGGATACGAAAGAGATGTCACACTGGGGAGTGCCCTTTATAACCCCAGAAAACCCAGCGTGGAGAAAGATACTCTCGGTCTTGTTACCCTTTGCAGTGATCGTACATCCAAACCCGTGAAAGTACCGAGGTCCAGCCGCATCAATGTTGTTCCGGCTGAGAAACCAGAGTCACGGGATCTCCGGCGAGGAATGAGTCTGTTGATTTTCATGTGAAGAATCATCAATCAGCAGATGATGGTGGCAGAAGACTGCAGATGATCTACTCTTGTGTCTTTTGAGCCTAGGCAAATGCAATAATGAAAGAAACTGAGCGTATCGTAAGCTTCTGTCGTCATTTGGTTCGAGTTTCTCAGCTATTTCGATACTGGTGGTGCTTGACCTTGTGAATACCATCAGTTTGTTATTATCTAATCTCTTTTTCATGGATTTATTGAAAGAATCATAAATAATAATGATCAGCAGAATTGTCCTCTCCGTACTATGCACTCCGTAGCTCAAGTATCACCTCCGAGCGGAGAGTCTCGGCGGCGGAATCCCCGACCATCTTTTTCTCTCCGCATCCAAGATCCAAAAAGTCATGTCCGCCTCCGCGAGGTCGCAATAGCTCACCAAATCTCCATCGCATCACCTCGATTGATCCATTTCATTTCCCTATCAACTGCACCATGCGCTCCCAGATACTGCGCGGCCTGGCCACAGCCGCAGCTGCCTCCCCATCACGATCGATCCACATCCAATCCTCCGCATTATGGGCATCCCGATTAACATGCAGCGTACGATCTTTCCTATCCATCACCTCGTCATTCCGCTCTCTAACCGCCTATCCTAGCAGAACTCGAAAAATCCCTCACAACCAGCTCTATCCCGACCGTTCTCCCACTCAACCCCCGTCTCGTCATCCCCATTCCGCCTCTCCTCGAAACCACCCGACTCCGACCACGCAATCCCCCCCGAACCACCCCTCGACGGCGAACCGGCCGCCTACTACAGCCCCTACAAGCCGAAGCGCCAATGGCCCCCGGATATGTCCAAGCTCTCCCCGAAACACCAGTTTCGGCTCGAGCGCAAGTACCGACGGCGCGCGGCGCTCAAGTTCGCTCGGCCTAAATGGACCAAGGCGACCAAGTTGATTCAGTGGGGAGTAATCGGATGTAAGTTTCCTGTCTTGGTCCGGGTTTCTTGATCTGTGGGTTGGAAAGGATAACGCTAATGTGGCTTGTCTCTTGCAGTTGTTTTGGTATATGCTTTGCTCTTCATGGAGTGGGATGAGAGGGGAAGTCCGTTCGATGAGGTGGGTGCTCTCCCTCGTACTGATATACTGCTGTGAGGTTGGTCGCTAACCTGCTTGATCTACACAAAACAGATTCGACGGGCGTTCTTTTCCGGCGTCAAAGATACATTCTCAACTCCGCCGCCGCCCCGCCCTGTCAGGAGAGCTGACAATACTGCTCAGGACTAGACACCACCAATAGAAGGTCTATCGGCATTCTCGCTTGTCCAAAGTCGATGACCAGTCTTGAGCTACTGTATATAATAACTGTACTATATGCATGAATCAATGCGCTATCTGCAATGACTACCGGCAAGCTTTAAAACTCCGCTATACTGTTCGCTGACTCGGTCATTGTCAATTTAAACCACGAGATGGATGTTCAAGAAAAACAAATTCACAAGAGTTGACTGTTGTCTGAAGTGTTCTTGAAAGGGAAAAAAATGAAATCTCGTCATGTTGGCCCTGTCGCTTCATTAAGTCGTGTCGCCATGGCCCGTAGTTCTGCTGACAGATGCGCCCAAAACACCAGAGAAATGCCAACGCCTTTCAGTATCCAATTACTCCAATAACACAAAAACAGCAAGACCACATGAAGGAGAACGAGTGTGAGGTGTGCTCATGGAGGGGGGGGCAAAAAAAGGCAGCAAAGATCAAAAGCAACAGAAAAACAGGGCCTAGAACGCCGGGTCATGATCGCATGATGGATTGACTTCACAGAGGAAGTCGATGAGTTACTGAATGAAGACATCAAAACTCATGAAAGCAGATTCGTCACAAATATGAATTGGCATGCTGTAACACCCAACGAGCTTGTCACAGCCAATTGCCCAGGTCATCCCCCTTCTGGGAGACTCGATTGTTGGAAGGTAGTTCTAGTGCAAGCTCCAACCTTGGAGGCTTTTCGTCAAGAATTCCCTTCTTCGGGCTACCAGGTCCGGCTTTGATTGGGGACTTGACAGGAGATCCGGGTTCCGGTCGAGGCGGACCCTCCCGAACGAAGGTGTATGGCCATCCATCCTCCACAGCAGCTGCAGTCCATGTCCGGAGACAATCGTGGACGGAAGAGTAAAATTTCTCCTTGCATGTTCTCAGACTGCCGCCCATTACCTTCTCGAACCCGGAAGCGCGGAGTTCTGAACGCAACTTGTTACGTTCTTCGGTAGACGGCATACATGCAATGAGCCCGTTCATGAGGTCGAGATGCGCTGCGAGATAGTTGGTGGCATCCCATTCAACCCCACCTACATACGGCGCAGCGGGAACAGGCGGCCTGGGTGCCGGAAAATGACGTTCTCGGAACGTCTGTTGCGCCAGTTCTGGAGGACATTTGTCGGACTTGACGATGGGTATAACATTGAGATGATGAAGAAAAATCCAAAATACCTCTTTGGTGACATTGCTGACTTCCTTACACCACACTCGATAAGGGCGAGATTGGTAGATATTAGCAATAAACGAGAGAGGTTGGTTATCTTCCGGGGGGGTTGGATCCTGCAAGTAGGAAAGGATCCGTGAGGCACATGCTGTGGCCATCTCGTCGGAGGAGGCAGTAGAAAGCTGAGTAAACAGGAGGTTCATGATGATGCTGCGAGTGGTGTATTCGCTCGGGCCTTTCTTTTCCTCATCGAATAGCATCTTCAACAGCGCTGGGAAGAGCTCGGCTTCAATTCTGGTCAGGTGCTTCAATGCGACAGAAGTTGTGCAAAGTGCCTTCAGGCACAAGAGGATTTCATGAAGCAAAGTGTCCTCATGCTCCTCCCTGACGAAGAAATCAGCATTTGCGCGGAAAACCAACAGGCTGGGCCACAAAAACGTACCGCCATTCAACTTTCATTATCCTGTAAAGCAACTGGACAATTTCGTCCATACCGCCATCGGCAATGAACGTATCAACCCAGTTGATGGTCTCATTGCGCAATAGGATACGAAGCTTGTGTATCTTACCAATCTCGATCATCTCGGGCTTCTGTATCTCTCGTAGATAGTGGACAAAGTCCGATGGGTCGGCAGCCGTGTCGCGACTGGCTGTAGCGGAGAGAGAGACGGTGGACGTCGCTGGTGTCAGGATTTTTGAGAGACTCGCGGGCTGGGACAAATCAGCAGACTTTGGACGACGATAGAAGCTTCCGCTTTCCGGCCGATGCTTCTTTCCAGGTGAGGAGCCACCTTTAGAAAAGGTAAAGCCGCGACTTCTGGACCGCGATTGAGACCCTTTTCCGTCATGATTCTGTCGCTCATCCTTCGACTCGCTTTTGCGACCTCGACGACCAGTGCTATCATTGGCCGAGGAAGGACCAGTGCTCTGTGGGGTATTGTTCTCTGCTCTATCCTTTTGGATAAAGTCAGCCTTGATGTTAGTGTCCAAGGCCCTCATTTTGTCTCTCATATTGTGGGGAATGTTCCGCGCATCCTATGGCACCTGTCAGCATGTGCGTCTCAGAAGAAAGTAGTTATTCTTAGTTAGGCAAACTCACAAGGAGCTTTTCGAATTCGCTTTCCAGATCCTTCGAGTTTAGGCGTCGTTGTACCTCTGCTTCTTTCTCCTTCGCGTTGAAGGCAGAGATTGCCGCCTGCACGCGTGATGGTTTCTTCGGGCTCGCATCTGGCTTCATCTCAGGCTCTGGGTGCGATTCGGACCTTGAAATACGAGGCCTTCCTTGTCCTCGATGAGACTCAGTCTCAGACTGATCGACCAAAATTGGTTTGTCAGACGGCACTGTTTGGATACTTCCCAGGAGCTCCTTTACCTTTCGATTTCCTGAAAGATTATCGGATTTGGGACGGGGCTTGGCAGCAGAGCGATTAGCGAGAGAAGGCTGATGGTAATCGTAGAAATTTCGCTGTTGCGCTGGGCCGTAGCCTTTGGGCGTGTACAGCGAGACTTCTTCTTGCAATGTTCGGCGCTTATTTGGAGACTGTGGCACTGCATTCTGGTTGTGGAAGGAGTCGGGCGCATACGGGCTCCAGACAGGTGATGGCATGCTGTCCACCAGATCAGACGGGCTTCGATTCTCTTTGTCCCGTACATCTTTCGATCCTTCGGCCTTCCTTCCCCGCTGTGATCGTTTCAGGATGGCACTGAGGCTGTTTGCCGACTTTGCCTTCTTAGGCTTCCAACCCAAAGGCTCGTCCTCCGGCGCTTCGCCGGCTTTATTCTCCTTGCGTTCCATGTAGTTTCTCAACGATTTCAGGGACACGGCACTCTTCGTCTTCTTGTGCAAGCCCCCTTTCTCCGTCTTTCCGGGCGGCTTTGGTTGGAATGAAGAGCCATCTGCCGCATCACGGTTGTGGGCTCTTTCGCCCAGCGGAAGTTGGTTTAGAGCAGGGTAGGCCTGGTCGGCTGGGGACCAAGACGCGCTTTCTGCAGGTTGGGACCTGGGGGAAATCTTTGGAGGGATGGCATCGTCCGCAGATTGGTTTCGTCTATGAGCTTTGGAGAGAATCGCTCGGAACCCGAGTTTGGTAGGACTACGGGTGGCATCATCGAAGATCTCGGGGGGCTGCATGTTGGGAGCCATTACTATCGCCTTTGGCCAGAAACTAGCCGAAGTATAACAACAGCCGTCAGCGATGTTGCAAAGAAAAACCGATGCAAATATAAAACTCTGCTGGGACGGTAGACACCAGAGAACTTACGGTGAGAAGACGCTCCGATCGCAGCTGAGAAGAAGTAATGCACAATGCAAATGGCAAGATGGACAAAAAAGCACAAGAACAAGAACAACAAAATCACAAATTGCGAGCAAGGAGAAAGACACAGCAAGATGGCAAAAAGCAAGACATTGGCGAGCAGGTAGTATCTACTGGAAGCCAGGACTCGAGGGGGGCAGACAGCAGGAAGTAATAAAAAGCCGGCGACATCGAAGGAACAGCGAGACCAGCACGGCACAGCGAATGACCACCAGGTGGATAGTCCGGAAGTGAGTAGAGTCTCAGATGAGTCGAAAAAGATGACCAACAGGCGCATGCAGCATTCATCCACCAACTTTATCCACCAACGCCGTTGCACAGTGGCTGGAATCGAGCATGGTGGAGGAAGTAAACAGAGAGTGGCAGTGGGGTTGCTGGGGGCAACGA